GTCTCAGCACCCGTAACCTTGACTCACGTGTGATCCCAGCCCCACCTGAGAGACCAGCAGCACCCAGGGCAAATCTGAGGGCTCCCCTAGACCCACGAAGTCTTGGTCTGGTCTCAGCCAGCCCTGCAGCGAGAGGGGGATGCTGTTCTGGGCCCCAGGGGCAGTGGGGCTGGTGACTTTCTCATCAGGGCAGCCACCTTTTTACTTTTGCTCCAGTTCCTCTGCCTGGAGATAGTGATTAAAGAGAAGGGTGGGAGGGAGGAAGCAGACAAGATGGAAGGACCCACTTTCTTCATTTTGCAGGTGAAACCCGGAAACCCTGTCCCCCTACCATGGAGAACAGGACCTGGAAGGATCTATAAATACCTCTTGCTGCTCAGCACACAGCTCTGCCATGCATTTGCTACTGTCTTCTGTCCTGACAGGCACAATTACTGTAATTCCCTAGACTAACTACAAGGTGGAGAAGACAAGGAGAATAAAGAAGGGGGGGCTGGGCAACGGGACCTCCTAGCAGATACTTCCATGTCAAATAAAAATATATCTCTATGCAAAGTTCCTTAAAAGAGTAACAACTACTTTTTTTTTTTTAAGCATAGGACCATCTGTTCTTTATCCAAAGACACCTTTTCAACTTAATTACAATATGGATGACACTGCTGTGCTCCTGTTTGCCTTTACCAGGTTCCTCTCCAATCTTCTTAATTGTATTTGTAATTGCTACTCATGGCCCTCAGTTGGTAGAGAGTATTTAAATAGCCCCAAATTCCTGGGTAAAAGGTCTGAGTCCCATATAAAAGCTTTTGGTTTTCTGTAACCAAAGGGAAAGCATGCTATTCTGGAAAGATCACAAAAAATGCCCAGCTGTTAAGCGTCAACTGAATGAGTGACACATTTTATTTGCATTCCCAGGATGCACTGTTCTCAATTTCCCTTTGCACAGGTCAGCAGGGCTTAGCAAGAGGCATAAATATCTCCACATATTGCTCTGTACAACAGAGTATTTTCCATTAGGCTTAAATTTTCCACGAGGCTTAAATTCATTGAATGATATGAGAGAGGACAGCTAGAAGTGTCAGTCATTTGCCATTTTGTGAAAGGAAGTGGTCCATGATTCCTTAGAGAGATTTCAGGAATTTCCACAAATAGTTTACTTCCACTGATGGTTGAGGGCCTGGAAAGGCTATGCTGTGTACTAGGCACCAAAACATACTGGTTAATGTTCACAGGTCTCTACTCCCACGTGGCCTGGTCCTATCACTTACCAGGATCCTGTCTCAAAGGATTATTCCTGTAAATAATGATAAGATTATTTTTCTGTAAATAATGATAAGTAGGGTTTCCTTTGTGGTACGCAAGGTTCACTCCACGTAAGGATGCCCTTGATTCCTCAGCCTTCTCGGCTGCACCAGGCCTCCCACAGCCCACATTCTGTGTCCAAGACCATGAGTCACTTTTGGCGTGTGAGACAATATTGTGTGGGGGTGGACTCTCAGGGAATCTATCCATCCAGGTTTGTGGAATTTGTTTTAGTGAAAAAAATCAGTTAAAATTTGCAGACGTCTATTCCTTGTGACAATGAAAAATACCCAAAGAATCAGAAAAATAATTAGCCTCAGAAAGGCTCTTCCTTAGAGACAGGGTTGGTGGAGTCAGAATATAGATGGGGGACGTTCTGGTTTTTAAAAGCAATCATATAAGTTCCATTGGGAAAACAATATCGCTTTGGTATCGAGTGGCGCAAGGCTTCAGCCGCCCTCTGTTTGGGAAAAGAAATTTTCTGTAATTGTGAGCATTTTGAGGTCTGCTCACCTTTGAGCCATAACTAGACTTTATAACCTTGGCTAAAAGAACATGGTCTACTGGTAAGTATTTGGGATCAAGAACAAAATAACTTGGTTTAAATGTTGCAACTGCCACAGAGTAGAACCTTAACCTAGTCACTTTTGATCTCTTTGTGAGTCTTTCTACCCACCTTCAATAATAAAGAAATACGAATGTTGGAGTTGTAAAATTAGACCTGAGATAAGAACTGTGAATCTCTCAGAGCCTAAAATGCACCTGAAGAACAGAAGCTAGAATCATCTCAACATGGAATTTTATCAGACTCTTACATCTGATTAGAAAAATACCCTTGAAGTGGAACTTGAATATATTCACCTGGCTCACTAGCTTACCAGCACAATTCTTCTATCATAGGGAAAATGCAACACTGACATAAATTAGAATCAAGATAAAATAGCAAAGAATGAGGGTGCAACCAATAGCGTGTTGAGAATAACCTCTGCTAGGGGTCTGTAAACTAGCTACCACTAATCCCAGACTCTTGGAACACATCTCAGGGCCGACTTTCTCAGAAAGAAAGGCATCCAGACGCTCCATCAACAGGGAGCAGGATCAAAACAGATCGTGCTTGGCATGAATTCCAAGAAAACACCAGACCAGCAGCCTGAGTTCTGTCTGGGGATATTCCCACACAACCAGCCATGTGGGCTTTCCGGTCACAGCCCAAATGGGCAGCTGAGAGCAGGAAACGCTCACAGGTGCACCTGCTGAGACCAGCATCTCCCACTCACCTGGCAGATACCGACCATGGCAATTCTCAGATGATAATCCTCAGAAAAAGAATCTCAAAAGGATCCTTTTCCACTGTGGAGAAGAATGTGGACTTACCGCCTTTTGTATTTATGACAGCTCACAAGTGGCAGGGCCAGCGTAGATAACAGACAAGACTGATTCTGTCTATTGCACCACCAGGTAGTTAAGCAAACTTTTGGACAAAGACTCAAAAAAAAAAAAAAAATGACCCACAAACATTTTCTTGTCAACAGACACAGCACCTTCATTCTAAATAACCTTGAAACTCTGACCTTGAAGTCTGTGGCCAAAGAGATCAGTTCCTCTTCCTGTGTTAACGGCTCACTGTCTTTGGAGCCCTAGCATAAGGTTCACTCTAAGATGCTTCCTAAATTGCGTGCCTCATGTTCTGGGAGGCAAATGCTTCTGAAGCCATGTGACAGGGAAGCCACTCTCAGCTTCATGGAGACCCCTACTGTTCCTACCTAGAGCACCTCAGGGCCAAGTCATCTATCTCAAGCCTCTATTTCCCCAACCCCAGTCTTTGCCATATCACTTTTTTACCCGGCCCCCCTGCAACGTTTATGCTGGGAATCACTTCACTATTACACCTAATGAGAACATCCCTGCTTCCTTCGGACACCTCTGACCTGTGGAGTCAGGGCCGGTTGACTGTCCTCTCAGCCAATTCACGTCTTTATTAGGCTTTGCAAGGGACCCAGGCTAGGGGACTCTGTGAGCCAAAGGGGCGCATGTCCCCACGGCTGTTGCCCACATGTAGCAGGTGCCTAAGGCCCAGAGCACCAAGCAGGACCTGCAGGCAGCGACGGGCCTGGCATCACGTAGGCAGGCGGGGCGGCCCCAGAGCCCCGACCCGCCACACCCGCGCCGGCCCCGCCCTTCCCGGCTCAAGGGCGAGGGGAAGGTCAGCCCGCAGGGTGGGCTGAGGGCCAGAGTGCCAGATGCATTCCCTGAGCATCTCTCCATCGTGCGCAGCCTTGAAACAAACGAAAAGAAGGCATCAGGGACTCTGAGCTGATCTGGAGTGCGGGAGTGCAAGGAGCAGGGGAAATGAAAACCAAAACCCAGCTCTGGGACTGTTTTAAGCCGGCGTGATCCTTCAGCTCCAGAGGCGCATTAGCCAGGAAGGCACAGACGTCTGCCTTCTAGCGATTGTTTCTGCATTACCCAAGCTTTCACCTGGCCCCGGAAACCCCACGGTCTAAGATATCCTGCGTTCCCACCACCAGTAGAACAGCCATGTCGCCGATTCCACAGCCCTCACCCCGGCCCTAAATTTAAATATCCTCTTCGTGAGTCCACAGGATCTGGGGTTGGGGTCTCTCCCCCACCCTTCCCCGAAATCAGCCTCCACATTGCCTGGTGGTGGCGTGTATGTGTGTGTGTGTGTGTTGGGGGTGGTGGTGGTGCCTGGAATCGTGTCTCGAGAGCTGTGGCATCCCCGGAGTTCCCGCCTCGCTTCCCGGTCCTCCCCATCCAGGGAGGCCGGCAAGAAGGGCCTAAAGATCCATTTTAGTTTTCAGTTTTGTCACCAGCCGGAAGCTAACTGGAGATCAGAGCCGCACAAGCCCTTTTGAAAAATCACCCAGCGGAAACACGAGGACGTGCGGGGCCAGAGGGGCAACCCCCGCAGGACCCCAACGCGCCCGCTACGGCCCGCAATGCAGCAGCCGCGGGCCCCAGCCTGCGCCGCGCCCGGGGCGCGAGTGCGCGGGGGGCGCGCCGGGAACCCGGCCGTTTTCCTCCCGCAGAGAGTGGGGCGGCGGGAAGACCAAGCTTAAGGAGGGGCGTCCGATCCCATCCTGTGACTCAGGGAGGAATGATATTCGAGGGATTCCGGGTGACTCCCGCGCCAGTTCCAATTTAAAAAACAAACGTGGAGATGAAAAAATTATTTGAGCTTCCTGATAAAGGATCCTACAGCCACTTCCCTTGCTCCTCTCTGCCCGCACAGTGGCCACTTCAGAGGTTGCACCCACGCGCCCGCAGCCCGGAAGGCACCCCTGCGGCTCCTGCACCGGGGCTTCCCTCCCCTGGGTCTATCCCTGGCACTCCCTATTTGTTTCGCCCTGCTCCCCTCGCCCCCACCCCGGCGCTTGGCCCTGCTAATCCCCGGTACCCCCATCAATTGTCTACCCTTGCCCTGTTCCCCATCCCCTCTCCCTGTGCCCCACATCCTTTTTCCTTGTGGCCCGCATCCTTCGTCCTTCTATTGCCATTCCCACTCCTAGGTGCCCCCATCTCTTCTTCCAGGTGTCCCCATCTCTTCCTGCAGGTGTCCCCACCTCTTCTTTCGGATCCCACCATCCCTTTTCCTCCGCCTCCCTCTCTTTCCTCCCCAGCCCCCACCCGCCTCGCCCCGCAACCCTCTCGCCTCCGGGTTGGGCTAGGCGGTCGCTCACCCTGGGCATCCCCGCCGCTGGTCAGCACTCCGATGGCCTTGCCAGCCCCGGAGAGCTGCTCCAGGAACCTTCGGAGGGAGACTTTGCGGCTCGAGTCCTCGTCGTCCATGGCTAGGAGGCCTGGAGACAGCGACGCGCCGGGTGCTCAGCGGGCAGTGCGCCCCGCCCGCGCCGCGGTTCCTTGGAACCGCCGCCCCGCCCGCTGCGCCCGCGGGCCAATGGGCAGAGAGGGGCGGGTCGCGTGCGCCCGGAGTGGCCCACTGGGAAGCGCCTTGGGAGGGGGTGCAAGGTGGTTGGGTGTATAGCAGGTGGAGGATCACGAACCGGCGCCGACTGAGCACCACAGGTGGGTGGGAGTAGCGCAGACGCTGAGCGCCACAGGTGGGCAGCGGGGGAGCATCGTTAGGGGCACGCATCCCAGAGGGCAGGGAAAGCACCACAGGTGGGGGAAGGAAAACAAGAAAGGGATGCGGCTAGTGGGGAGGGGTACCCTAGGTGGGCGGGACCATGGCAGTTGAGGGGAGCATCATAGGTGGGAGGAGCAAAGCTAGAGATAGTTGTAGGGTCAGGAACGGCCACGGTGCAGGTTTTCTAGGATCCAGCAGACCAGGTAAAGGAGGAGTCAGAGTCCTCAGTGGGTTTGCAGGTTTTTATTGGGATTACTAGGTACATGGCAGGCAGGGGCGCTGGGGGGCCAGTAGGCTCGCAGGCCTCCCGGCCCCCAGCAGGTCCTCATTTTGGGCTCTCTGGCCTTCTCTTGGCCTCCGCATTTGGCTTCTCTGCTTCCTTCTCGGGCTTCTCTTTTGGCTTCTACTGGCGTCCCGTGACGCCATCCTTAAAAAGCACAGTCTTAGCCCAGGTGAATCCCATCTACCTAGGCCCACACCCTACTCCAGGTGCCCGCCATCAGGCATGCATTCAGGACCACAAGGATTCATCATCTATCCTGATGGCGGGAGGGCAGAAAAGCCTGACATTTTTTCCTTACTGTACATAGTGCTGGGCCTGAACCCTCTTCCCGCGTGATTCCTCCAGGGGGTTTGTGCTCTGGAGCCTCAGAGAAGCCCACATATTCCTCCAGCTTCCCCAGGCTACACCCTCAGGTCGAGAAAAGGCATGTTAGGGGGTTCTCCAACTGGTGGACAAACGTGGGCATTGCTGCCTGGCAACAACCGAGGCCTGTGCCCTCAGGGACTGGGGTGCCCTGGTTACCCGCCCAGGATGAAAGGCAAAAAGTGAATCCGGGGAGCTCTGCAGCTACATGACTCTGGACCAGGCCTAGGCACTAGAGGGCCTGTGGGGCATGGAGACAGCACAGGAAAGGCTTGGCTTTGGAGATAAGCAAAGGCGCATTAGCCAGGGCGCATTAGCCAGGAGAGCAAAGGCACATTAGCCAGGAGAGCACAGATGTCTGCCTAAGGACAGTTCTTACCTAAGGAAACCTGAACTGTTCCTTGTTGTCAGCTGAGGCTCCTAGTTCTGTTGGAAAACCCCCAAAGTGAAATTGTAATTCACCCACCAGTATAGTGGGTGATTAACAACAAACTGAATTTTTGCAGAGCTTCATCTGGTGCCAGCACCTGCCACTGAGATGGAGCCCACTCCCACTTGGGATGTAGGCCAGGGGGCACCTAGCTCTGGGTTTGTGGTTCAGGTAGCCCCCAAAATTGTTCCATAAAGGGGCCATGGGCAGTTTGTGGCAGGGATGGCACAGCTCTGGATGCAAAATAAATGTCCAATGAACAGGAATGGAAAAGAGGCACTCAGAAAAGGGTGGCTCTATTAACTGGGAGAAGCCCCTATTCGCAGCCTAAACAAGCTATTTGCTATACAGCTCCCTGAGGCAAAATGTGGAGGCTGGGCGTAAAAAATTTAGTTTGGATGCTTGCCTCCAGCTAGATTCACCTCCCGCTCCAACTCCTTCTCTGAGCCTGTTACAGTGTGAGCTTTAATTTATGCTTCAGCCTGATTCTTGACTGGGTCATGGGGGGGCCAAGATACCTGGCCAAACGTTATTTCTGAGTGCTTCTGGGAGGACGTTTTTGGATGAGATTAGCATTTGAACCAGTGGACTCAGTAAAGCAGGTGGTCCTCCCCATGTGGGTGGACTCCATTCAGCCTACTGAGGACCTAACAGAACAAAAGGCAGAGAGAGGAAAGGAGAATTTGCTGTCTGCTTGGGCTGGCCTGTCCAGGTTCTCTGACTCTTGGACATTAGCGCTCCTGGTCCTCAGGCCTTCAGGCTCAGTCTGTGTCACTCCACCACCAGGTTTCCAGCTGCAGAGGGTAGATCACGGGGCTTCTCGGCCCCTGCCAACACATCAGCCCATTTCTTGAGTGAATATTCTCTTACATCTGTCCCTCTATATACACCACTGGTCCTGTTTCTCTGTAAATCCCTGACCGTGTGACTGGCACACATGGTCAGGTTAGATGGGTTATATTTTAATTGTGAAATGCTAAATCAGAATATCAATTTGCATATTGCCCCCAAACAGAACTTCAAACCTTCCCTGAGCATTACAAGATTGAGTTTACAATGACTGATTCTTAAAGCCCCCTTACTTTCTTATCAAAACCAAATGGTTCAAGGCCTAGGCGTTTAAATACAAACACACTGAAATATCCAAGCTCTGAACAATAATGCTTGCAAATGGCTAAACATTGAGCAGTGAGAGATGCATGCCAGGGTCTAGCAAGTTTTCAACTTTTTCAGATCCTGATACAAGCCACAGACTTCTGCAGTTAGTCATAGAGCGGCATGTCACATGCAGTGAGCTTGGCAACAGGCCAGGTAAGGCTGCCAGGAGGCAGACGAGGGGGTTCTCTTCACTATCTCCATAGGGACCCACTCTCACCTTAGAAGCCCACACAGGTCATTGAGCCCCATCCCCAGGGAAGATTGGGTGTCCTTGGTCCTGCATCAGTGGGGATATTGGCTTTGCTCTCAGATCTCTGCTCCCTTCTTCCTGCAACACTATTGAGGAGCCTCATCACTGCTCTAGCTATCTCCATACGATGACCGTTTGAAAATAATCACTCAACAATTTCTTGTTTCTCAGTTTCTCCAAACTGCATAGTGGCATTCTTTAATCCCTTCCCCCCAGAAGATTTTCTTTGGTTGCATTTTTTGTTGTTGCTATTTTACATATTGGTATTGCAGAATACAAAATATTATGGTGAATACAAATGAAGATCAAAAGCATTTTATGCATATCATATTATCAGTCAAAACACTGTAGAATTTTTTTTCCCCATTTCTTAATAATTAGAGAGCTTTGGGGTCTCCTCACCTCACAGTTACAACAAGAAACTCATCATTTAGCCTTGTTTTGGGGCAGATGAAATGTCAAGTAATAAACATGCATCACAAGGTTTTCCTGCCTTCAAATGTTTGGCTCATTTAACATTTTTATTACCCTGGATTGTAGCCTCTTGTTTTCCATATCCCAGAGAGTTCTGGAAGAGAAAACATTTGAAGTACTTATGCCATGCAGTCAGTCAGATCTGAATGCTTTGTTGGCATCAAAAAGGTGGCTCTTTCCAAAGGAGCCAAGCTCATGATAACTTCCTTGGAAAGTTTTCAGAGCAAAGACATTTGGTTGAAGTGTCACAATTTTTAAAATTTCAGACACAAGGAAGCATCTTCAGGACCATGCCTTAATTTCTCCCAATCTTTTCTAAAAGTTTAAACATCTGGTTGTACATTCCAGGTGGGTCTTATCCTTCTCTTCCCAAACTTAATTAATTCATTCTTGAATGATCTTTAAGGGAAACAAAAGCTTTTTTTCCACATAGATTACATGTAGTTGACATAAACATCTTCCAAACTCAGATGAAAAAGAACATGGGAAAACTCCCAGGAATAGGGGATTTTTATCAAGCAGGCCTTGCTGTGGTGAGGGCGATTTACTTAATATCCTAATAATTCATCCAATGCATCTGTCTCTGCTCCTTGACCTTGATATTCTTGTGACAACCTACAAGTCCACCATTCACCATTCAAAGAGCAATGAAGAGGCTATTGTGATGGACTCAGTTCATTTCCCCTCCCTGGGCTGGGGAAAGGCTGTTCCTTCTGTGCTGATGGGTGTGGCCAAGTGACTCTAGTCCAGCTCAGGCAATAAAGTGGAATTATGCAATAGGATTTCCAGAAAGACTCCTTAGAATGAGTCAAACCAAGTGCTACTGTTGGAATGTAGCTGTGATTGCAGAATCCACGTCACCTTTCATGGAGCATGAGGTGATGTAGAAGATACGGTCATTGATAAATGTAGCAGAGGGAACTGTAAAAGAAGCTTGGCTCTGAGAACTTTGTGGATCTGTTGAACAACTAAGGATTGCCTTTCTTTAGACTCCTTTGCTGTGAAAGGATAGACCTTTATGCTTAGCTTGAGTTTTCTATTTTCTGCAGTGAAGCTAACCCTAACTGACACGTTTCTTACTTATAGTTTATGCCAATTTCTAATATTTTAGGTACCTGTGTTTCCCTGGAAACTCACAGGAAGTGGAAGGGGCTTTAATGATCACACAATCCACCCTCCTCGTTTTCTAAAAGAGAGCATTAGGGGAAGTAGTCTGGCTGTAGTGGGGAAGTAGTGGGGAAGTAGTCTGGCTGAGGTCAAGTTATGGCCCTGATATCTGAACCTAAGGCACTCTAGCAATAAAATTTTTCAGGTCTTAAACTGTACTGCCTACTCCATCTCATCCCTTATTGCCTTTTGAAATTGCTTATGGGAGACTGATATTGAAACCTACCACTGCCTTCAAGGTTTTTTCAACATAACAGAGAGAGAGAAGGTGTCCCCACGCTTGTCTGCAGAGGTGGTCCATCCTGGAGTGGGGATACAGCCCCTCTCTGCCTGGAGGCCTTGCTCCCAAATGGAATTCTCCCAACCAAAGTCTTATGTGACGTTTGCATGAGCAGTCATCAGTTCCTTCTCCAAACTCCTTCCCATTTTGTGTCTGTGTGTTTATCGCATTCTGACTCAGAATTATTGATTCATGAAGGCACTCTGCCAAGCCCTGACTTGATCTGGATACCTACAGACATGAAGGGGCAAACTGATAGAAGATTCTGCAGTAGCTGGACAAAACAGAACCTGACAGTCCCCCATCCTCCACTACGAACACATGTGGAAGGAAAATAGTTGCGTTTTCACTGTTACTCTTGGGCAGAATCAGTTCTTTTTTTTTTTTTTTTTTTTTTTTTAGTTTTGCCTTGCAATTGAACTCTGGGGCCCATAGTCTGCTTTCAATGCTAGTGCACAATTTCCAAGTCTTGTCTCTTCCTTTAAAAATTTCAGTGTTTATTATTTTATTATATAGTATGTTAAAAAGCACTATTTGAATAACATTACCTAAGCGATCAGATCAGAAAAGGTCATAAACTCAAAATAGGAGGTGTCAGTTAGGGTTAGGGTCAGCTGCACAGGCCTCATTATTTTCTAGTGTTTATTTTTTTGCTATCTTTTTGTTTGAAGAGTCTCCAAAAGAGAGAAAGATGTTTCTGTAGAAAGAGAGAGACGTTCTTGGTAAAATGACATGTATTCATGACTCAGAGGGCATCTGGGGGCAAATACAAAGCCCTCTGACAGGTCCCTGTGTGAGATTCTTATTAACTTGCCCCTCACGTTAACTGCTTGACAGGTGACGAAGGGAAAATCCTGGGACCAAACTTACCTTTGAACCTAGTTTTACTAATCAAGATAGAAGTCCTGCCAATTCTTGTCACTAGACATCTCTCTGCTGTCCTCATCTTCCTATTGCCCTAGTGTTTTTGGTCTTTTTTTCCTTTGTGCTTGCTGCACATGGCTTCTTGCCTGTTCTTCTGCTTCCAGCTTCCATTTCACATCTGACATTAAAATGGCTCTGCTTAGACCCAGCAAGAAGTGCAGGGAAAGACTGAGGAATTATTGCCATTAGCAAGGAAGTCGACGTTTACTGGAGCCAGTGTAATTGGTTATTAGAAACACTAAGTTAATTTGTCTAGCTGGGAATTACTGAGGATTCACTTAGGCATGACTATCCAAAGCAGACAATAACTGGAGCTCCTCTCCCCCTCTTCGTGGGCCCTGTCCTTGCTCTGCATGGGAGGAAGCTCCTAGAGCTCTGCCTGAGCAGACTGGTTCTCCCACCTGCAGATCTGAGGGACCCTGGCCGGTGCTCCTCACCCAGCCTCAGAGCAGCGCCAGGGACTGGGACCAAGCAGCCATTCTCTGTCCTGGCCTCACTTGACCTCTGCCTGCTTGGCTGGGACACACTGCCTGCAGTGTCTGCGCATGGAAACCTTTGTTTCCCCGGTGACCGGCTTGGGCTCTGCCACTGCTTGGCCATTGGCCTTCCACTCAGGCTCCAAGAGTATGACCTCAGTGGAGGGCTCAGAACTTTCTTCTCAAACTTACTCAGATTTTTAAAAGTCAGACAACCAAAGTGAAGCACATGCATAAAGAGAGGTGACTCAAGGGCAAGCAGAAAGTTAGATGATGAGGCGACTGTGGGCTGGTAGTAGCAGTCTCAGGGCAGCATGGCTGCCACTGGGTCATGTTCGGCTGTGAGCTTCCTGGACTCAGAACCAAGATAGAGGGAAGGAAAGGAAACACCAAGTTTCTCTGTAGGGTCTGCTTTCCGGTTAATAGGTTTGCAGAATTTTTTCCCTTAACTCTATTGATAAGACATAGCACAACAGGATCTGTTGGAGGTGCTGTGGTCTTTTCCAGACTCTGGAGTAGCTGGGACCTGATGAAGATCAGTGGCAATTAGATGCACGTGGACTAAGAGGGAAGGAAGCAGGAGTCCCTGGAGGGCGTTTCCTACCAAAGTGTTAAATGTGGGGGGTGGGGGGGGTGTGAACAGAGACACAAAGACACAGAGAAAGAGGGAAACAGAGACAAAGAAAGAGACAGAGAGAGGTGTGCTGTGCACTGAGAAGGTATCACATGGCAGGGCAGGGCTGTTCTGGAAGAGGCGTCCAGAAAGAACATGTGTGGCTGGGAGACAACCATGTAGTGGGGTGGGCGGGGTGGGGGAGAGAGCGACAGCGCAAGTGCGCGAGACAGAACACCTGTGTGGACTGCTGGCTGCTACCTGGCAGGTGGAGGGAGGAGAGGCCCTGAGAGTTGGCACTTCAGACTCACCAAGTTGAGCAAGAGTCCAGGGTTAAGTTACAGATCAGGAAACGCTGTCTTTCCACTGTGGAGTCACAGCTTCTCTGTGGAGGCCAGAGGAGTCCCCATGCCCCACTGGACAGCCCTGGGCAAAGGACATACAGGCTGAGTATCTGAGCACTAGGTTTGTTGTAGAAAAATTCTAGCCTTTCACCCAGGCAGAGGAAGAACAAGCGGTACTTCAGGAATGGTGAGGTCAGGAGAAGCTTTATTACTCATGCATGAGGTCCCAGACCTAGGGAGCCCCATAAGGTCTGAGCATCGGTTTAAAGACCAAGGGTTCCTTTTATACACAACTGTCTCCATATCTGTTACATTGATAACGTTGTTTTTGAGCAGGCACCACCATTTGCAGCAAAGGGGGCAAGGGGGGCAAGGGGGGAAAGACAGACAAGTGCATTGCCCCAGACAAGGGGGGCAAGACAAGGGGGGAAAGAGGCAGGCATTCGGGGATGGCTTTGGAGAGAGAGGCCAGCTAGTTGGCTGCCCGACCTTGTAGATAAGAGTGCTGAGGCCCTGGCCATGAATCTTGAAAGGGAAGGAGCTGTAAGTAAGCAAACTTGTTAATTATGCCTGCATTGGAATGTTCATTGCACCTGGGCTGGAAGTTCTGCTGGAATCTTTATTATATTTATTTGCTCAATAATATATTTTCTCATCAGGTTAAGTGCTAAAATTAATGCATAGCCCCTTCTGCCAGACCTGAGGCCATGGTTATTCCAGGAAGGCCAAGTGTTCGTTAAATGAGGATTTACAACTTTCAGCAAAAGACGTGTTTGGGCGCAAAGCTGGCCTGTTGGCAGGAGGGGAGAGGCTGTGTTTACCCCGTCCTCCAAGCCCTCCCCGCCTCCTGCGTGCCTGGGAGCAGAAACCTGACTTCCTTGTATGGCCAGGCAGTGAGCTGGGAGTGGCCTGGGACCCTTGGATCTGTCCAGTCTCCTCAGGCAGGCTCCCAAGACGGGGGTGGAGGCGGGGAGAGCAGAACATTTGAGCAGCACAGGGTGCATAGGTGAGGTCCCTGGGGTCACAGAAGCCAGGACATCAGAGCCTCTTGTAGCAAGTGGTGGTGGCTGCCAGGCCAGGGAGCTGAGTATCCACCTGGTGGGGTGCGCAGCTCATGCCTTCATGCTATGAAGGGCACAGCAGAAATGTATCACACTCGCTAAGAGTGACTGTGCAACTAATTCCAACCGCCTTATCTCCACGTGGACAAAGAAGGTGCATTTCTTTGTGGTATTCATAATTTTAAAAAATGGTTTGAGTGATACATTTCAGTGAAAGCTGTTATTTAAAAAAACACTGGGAAGTCCTTTGCTGATGTGGGACACAGAGTCTTCTCTTATTCACCCCTCCCCTCTTTCTCTCCTCCCAACTCATCTCCTTTCCCCCTTCCCCTCCACCCCTTTCTGTTCCAGCTCAGTTGCCTTCTTGTTACTTCTGGAAGCTGGGACCTGTCCCAAAGGGCCCTGTTTGTAGGACAAAGAGCAGGATGGACTCAGCGTCAGTGCTCACGGGGAGATGCCAATATTCGTTATGAGCCATGCATTTCAAACAGACTTCACCCCACTGCAGTGCCTGCTTTTGGGGAGGGGGTCGGATCATTCTGAGCAGTGTTCACGAGGGGTGGTCTTTTCCAAAAGTTCCCCGAGCTGAGTTTGCATCAAACTTTTTATTATGAGGCAAATGACAGGAATCTAGACGCTTTGTCTTTGCTCTGTACCCTGGCTAACTAAGGCTCGAAAATTGAAATCATATACATTTTTGATGAGTAATTTCAAATTAATAAGTTTGATAGAAATGACACCTTGACTGGAATATTGAGAAAGCGACATCCCAAGCAGGTGGTGGGATGTCATTAATTTCTGGCAACTGGGGAAGTGCCTGTCTGCCCCTCGTGACAGCTGGGAACACTAAGTCTCCATCTTAACACCAAGCCATGCTGTGAACTTGACAAAGCCACGGTTTTTCACTGTGGTCAGAGAAAGGAGGTATGTGTGTGTGTGTGATGTTATTTTTAGATTAATCTTAAGATATTATTCAAAATAGCCATTTGGGAATTGTTTCATCTTTCACCAAAAGTGGGGTTGACATCCTTCTTGGGAGTCTTAGAGATACTTCATTTGAACAGGATTCTCCATATCATCCTTATACATATTAAAGAACTCTCATCATTTTGTGTTGATTAAGAAATGACCTAAGTTTCTGAAGGAGACCCCTAGTCTTTACACAACAGCACTGTACACCCACTTTGTGCTGCAGTTCTTCCTCTGACACATACACCAGCCTCTGAGCTGAGCCTTCTCCAGTGTCTCCACACGATGGCGCCAGAACCCTGCTTTCTTTCTAGTCATGCACCTGAGTCTTGACAACAGTGTTGTCAACTCCAGATAAAAATTAGAGGAGTATTAATACCTTTCAGCAAGTACACCTTTTGGTACCATTAGCCACAGTTAGGACTTACTCATCTCATAATGGAAAATTTGTACCATTTGACCAACAATTATATTTCATTAAAAAATTAGAAGAGGGGCCTCCCTGGTGGCTCAAGAGGTTAAGCACCGCACTATGAAGCAGTCCGCAATCTCTGTAGCACAAGTTCAATACCCAGCCAGCCAGGGAACAGCCCACATAGCGTAGCAGACCTCTCCTGTCTCGCCCACTGCTTCCCTCAGCAGTGTATTTCAATATGCCTGTTCTGCTCCCGATCTCTCTGGTGAATCCTCTCACCCCCTTCATCTCTGGCCTGTACCCCAGCTCTTGTATGCATAAATAAATAAATCTTAAAAAAATTAGAAGATAATGCTTTCCTCAAAGAATAGATTTGGAGATCTCCCTGGATTTTTTAAAACAGGGTCCTGTAAGGCAATAGACTGTTTTGCTCCTTGCAATCAATATGGTGTGCTTCTTCATTCTAAAGCCTAGTATGGCTTTAGAAATAAATAGTAACCAACTTTGAATATTTATTGTTTTTTTAGGATGACAACATTTACAGAACTACCTCTGAGCTCTATATTTAAGGATGACTCTGCCTCCAAATCCAAAGGTAGTCTTTTTGTATATTTTGGGGATCAAATTTGGGCAATGTATATTTGATTTTTGTTCTTATAATTCTTCCTGTTTCCTTTTTTTTACAGATTTATTGAAGCATAATTGATAAATGCCAAAATGTATATTTAAGCCTAAAATGAATGAGTTCTGACATATCTACACATAGGTAAAACTCAGACCACCATCAAGAAAATGGCAGTATCCATCACCCTAAGATTCCTGTGCCTCACTCCTTTACCCCCACCAACCTCTCAAAAAATGCTGAGGTTACTATATATTTATTTGCACTTTTTAGAATTTATATAATTGGAATATTATATATATTTTCATGGACTAGTATGGAAAATACCATTTTTTAAAATTCCTCAGTATTTGATGTTTGTGTTTTCTGATGTGTTATGAATATTGATGAATATGAATGTTGATGAATATTCTAGAGTCTAAAAGATTCAAACTGTCACATTACATGGTTCTTTCACTGCTCTGGAGTCCCATTTTTTTCTGTTTTCTTCCTCTCATCTCTCCCTAGCTATGGGTTTGCTTATCATTTGTATTCACCTTTGACTAAAATTGCACTTTCTCATTTCTTCTGGGAGATTTATTCCATAAGCCTCTGAAATGTATCCTTCTAGGCATCAGGTAACCTACACTTTATTATTGTATTAAACAGTTCCTTTTATTTTGGTGCTTCGACATTCGGAGCCTTGCTGACCCTGGAAGGTCTGCCCCTCCCAGGGTCAACAAATTCCTGAAAATGGTTTGGGATTTGTACCATACAGTACCATACAGAGCCTTTCAATGCAAATGGACAAGTCTAGTGTTTGTACCCTAAACTCCTCCTCTGTGAAGCCCCTGTATGCCCTGGAGCCCTTGCACCTGCCCTAATCACCCAGATCCGGAATGTAACCATTGAGAACATCCCCAAACCCAGAACCCACTAAAATTACTCAAACCAGCTAATCTAAACTTGCTCACCTGCTTCTCTGGTTCCTTCCCAAGGAGACCACAAAAAAAGGCTCAAGTCCACATTCCTCTCCCAGCCTCTGCCTCCTGGTTGTCCCTGTGCTTCCCACATTGCCCTGCACTGCTAGGCAGGTCCCTACTCCTGGGAATGGCAAGTAACCAACTATTCAGTGGCATCATCTCCTGATCTGGGGAGGCCCCTGTGGGCCTCCCCATCCCTGAGTAAACATAAGGCTACATTTAAAATGCTTGTCCAGAAAATACTCTTTTCTTTGCAAAGGACATATGTGCACAAAAGACCAGGATGGTGTGTGTTGTGTGCTGTGTGATATGTGATATGAGAGTATGGATACCTGTAAACTCTTTAATTCAAAGGGAAATCATTAAGACCAAAACTATGTAACTGTATCTTATGCTCCAACACATTTGCTTTGAAAGTGAACTGACTCATTATCACTTAATGGTTTATAAGCAATACATCTATTGCAGTTGCAGGAAGGCCACAGAGCTGGTTCTATCTATGATCCCAGCAAAACAGGTAAAGGAGAAGTCCTGGAGCCCTCGGTGGCTTTCTCAGGCTTTTATTGAGCTTTTTTACATTTAGTGCAGCTATCAGGTACACCGCAGGCAGGGTTGCCAGGAGGCCGTAAGGCCTTTAAGCCCCACCTCCCCAAAGTCTTCACTCTGGGCTTCTCTGGCATTCTTTTTCCCCTTCTCTCTCCTGTTCTCTCTCCTGCCTCTGCTTCTCTTGGTAATATCTCAATACTACTGCCATGACCCACAGAAGTAAACAACACAACTTATAACAATGTAGCAAAATGCAGGTGCCCCATCAGGCAGGGCAATTCTAATATAAGGAGGGCAGAAAAGCCTGAAAATCATTTACCCTACACTATATAAAATATTTTCCTTTAGCAGGAAATGATTTACACAGTCACAAATTTGCAATAATAAATGCAGTTACTTGCAAAAATAGGACAATTTTTTTTCAGAATCCTAAGTTTCAAATTTATTGAAAACTCCCTGTGATCTGGCTCTGGTGAATTCTCTCACCCTCCCGCGCTTCTGACTGTACCCAGTGCTTGTACAAATAAATAAATAAAATAAATAAATAAAAAATAAATAAATAAATCAAAAAAAAAAAAAAAAAAACAATGTTCAGAGCTCCCTGTGATTCTGAAGGGGAATGCTAACCAGCACAGATGGTGGTATCCTGTTAAAAACAGTAATTATCCATCATGCTATAGGCTGCAGATACACATTACAGTAATGTTACAGAGAACCTCTACTAAATAGTTCTCATTATACATCTGGTCAGTCAATATATAAATATAATCATTAAGTCTCAGATGTTTTATAATCCTGTTTAACCCACATGACATTGAGCTTGAAATAATTAAACAGCAATGTGTTTGAGTAGTACCAGTGTGTGTGTGTGTGTGTGTGTGTGCACAAAAGTGCTTACGTGCACATGAGCATGAATGAGTGAGAATGAGAAACAGAGAGAATTGGTATTTCCACATATACATGTCATGTCATAGTGCTTCACAAACAAAGGATTTATTTTTCAATTCCTCTTTTAGGGAGGAAGTGACTTTCTTATAAAAATGACCTTCAGGACCTCCCTGGTGGTGCAGGCAGTGGAGTGCTGCACTGTGAAGCTGTCCACCGGTTCTGTTCCCCGCTCTGTCTCCGGTGAATCCTCTCACCCTCCCGCACATCTGGCCTGTACCCTGTTTCTTGTATAAAAATAAATAAATCTTAAAATGAGCTTCAAACTCCACCCTCATTACTACAGCAGAAAGAAGAAAACAAATTCCTTAAGGGGAACACAGAGAGTACACTCAGATTAGAGATGTGTCATTTCTACAAGACATATCCAAAATCTTCTAGAACATATGGGAGAAAAATCCAGTTAGCATAAATCAAATATATATGTAGACTAAAGTTGGAACAGGTTTATAAGCAAAGACTAAAATGTGGGCCAGAAGTCCTAAAGGAGAAGTAGATAGCTGTGGGTGGACCTGAGAATTAAGTGGAATCACCAGAAAATGTTCCTGGAGTAACAGTAGGAAAGGTGACCTGTTCTTTATGGCGAAGGAGAGAGTGAATAGAATCAAGATCCAGTTAGTATCTTTATGGCTCTCCTTCTATTGAGTGCTATGATAGTTCGTTTTCATTTTCATGAAATCCCACTTAAATGAATTGCTTTAGCTCTGCTGGGTCAACATCATCCTAGAGTGAAGAAGTCAGTGCCCAAAAATATAAAAGTTCAGATTAAAATCCCACTGAAAAAAAAAAATTGTGACTTTAGGGAGATGGTTTCTGTTTGAGGGCATTATGTTATGTAGCTATATTATTATATTATTATTCAAGTCTTCATTACTTAGTCCCAAGTAATTCTCTTGATCTGATGAAGGCAAAATCTGCTTTAGACAGATATGAATTTTTTTTAAAGATTTATTTATTTTTATACAAGAACCGGGGTATAGGCCAGATGTGCTGGAGGGTGAGAGGATTCACCAGAGACAGAGTGGGGAACAGAATGGGCAGACTGACTGAAATACATTGCTGAGGGGAGCAGCATGCGAGCCAGGAGAGGTCTGCTGTGCCATGTGGGTTGCTCCCTGGCCAGCCGGGGATCCAACTTATGCTGCAGAGGCTGTGGATTACTTCATAATGCGGTGCTTAACCCCTTGCGCCACCAGGGAAGCCCCTAGACAGATGTGAATTATTATTCTGAGCTCTTTGAAAAAACTCTTTAAGATGATGGTGAATCGTAATATCTTTTTGAGATACATTCCCATGTTTATAGAAAAATTTGAACCATTAAATATTACTATGGGCAAGGAGACAGATTCCTGAAGTTTCATAAAAAGAATGACTTGATTTAAAACCACACACCCACAGTGTCCCAAGTCTTAGACACAATGAGTCTGAGGGTAAAGAAGTGATGAGGTTCTGTGTCATCATTAAGAACAATGGGGATTTTGCTATTAATTTTAGTTGAGTATAATTTTGGAGAAGGGAAGTTGAGACTATCAACATTGAAAACCCATGTTCTCAGCTGTAACTATTTTCGTCCCAGTGAGAAAATGAAATTCAAGTGGAAACAACCAGACAGTAATATTCTCACTATTTTTCCTAATCCTCAGGGTAATGGGCCATTTTGACTAATTCCACTCCTTTAGCTTCAAATTCTCTTATGAAAACAAAAAGCTATTTACAAATTACATAGTAGCAGAGAGGAACTTCCAACTGCAGTTCTCAACTGTATATTATTTTCTACTGTTTTGAATAAGGGTGCCTTGTATATTTGACCTTAAATAATTAAGATTCTTTTCTAAAAATCTGCCATACTTACTTAATCCAGAAAAGAATGTATTTCTTTAAAGTACTTTTTCACTAAAGATTCACAGCTGTGTTTTGGAACATGGGGCTGTATCTTTTATGGAGGGCAAAAAGCAAGTTTATGAACTTATTCTCTTTTGTATAATTTTTATTTTCCTCTCACACTGGGTTAAGCTTATAAATTCATCCAACATAATCCTGTGCAGATCCTGATATAATTCAAAACAACTTTGGTCAGTTCAGAAGCTTAAATTAAAGTGGCTGGGAAGTGGCAAGCTCTAGGTCTGTGGGAAACCAGACAGTTTGCAGTACTTTGTTACACAGCTGCAAGGCTGCTCCCCAGTGTTCCTGGGTCCTCCCTAGCATAGAGATTAGGGCACTGGGCAGAGCTGGACACTGAGTGCAGAAGGGGCAGGGCTTCCCACATCTGTCCTTCTAGGTGAGCCATAAAACAAAGAAACCAAAATACTGAAACTGAAGGATCAGGGCCTCAGATCTGGAGTTCTACCTCCTTCAAAAGGAGGGACCAGACTCATGTCCACTTACATGGTATGGGACCTAGAGTCTTCAAATAAGATGAAGAGCATAGGATGTTGGGTGCCAGGGGCTGGGTGAGGGAAGGATGGGAGTTTGTTGATTAATGGGACAGAGTTCCACTTGGACAAGATAAGAAATTTCTGGAGATGGATATTAGTGGTGGTTGCCAATAATATGAATACACTTAATGTGGTTGAATTGTCCATTGAAAAATAGTTAAAATGGTAAAATTCATGTTATATATTTTCCTATAATCATCAAAAGAGATTAGCATTGTTTCTATCTTAGCCTTCTTGTCTTGGGTTATTATTGTTATTTTTTTAGATTATGCCAACTTCATGGTTTCATTCTTGAAAGCAAGTGGCATGTCTTCATAAATGGGCAGCACAGGATAATCATCCCTTCTCTCAGGGATGTTTATCTCAGAGACTTAGTGGGAAGTCTAAAAATACTACATCAAACTTGGGTGTATGTATGATCACTAAAGAATAATTGCCTTGTTTAGTGAAAATTCCAGGAAGGGAAGTCTGGAGTGTTAGCTCTGTGTGGTCTCCTGCTGTACATTGCCTGAAATGTTCCAAGCAGTAAGATGCATCAAAGCTTTTATCACTCTTCTGTGCTCAATACTTGGCCCTTGGAAGGGTGAAATCGATATTTGATGACCACATTACTGGATGGCCCTTCATAGTCACTTCTGGGTGGATTGATCTTGAAGACACATACATTCAT